CCCGCTGGTACTGTACCCCAGTGATATACAGTGACAGACCTGTCCCCACCCAGTACTGTACCCCAGTGTTATACAGTGACAGACCTGTTCCCCACCCAGTACTGTACCCCAGTGTAATGCAGTGACCTCCAGATTAATGAGCCCAGCAGTTTGTGTCCTGTAGGGGAATGCCTCCAGACTGAGTAGCCAGCTCCCGGTGAAGCTGTGAGGTGGCCTTTGTTGGTCACCTGTCGTGTGAATGGAGATTCTGAAATTTATTAATCCGTGAGGTCCCTGCGATTCTGTGCTTGGAATCTGAATAAAGTTACAGACAGTTCATTCCAGCAGAGTTACTAAAGTGGGATGTTCCTGCTCTTTCTATGGATTGTACAGCCTTCCCATGGACACTGTCACATTACAACAAGGACACAGTCCCTGGAACACAGTGTACTGCATAGGGAAACATGCATTAATCATATCAAATGCTGGAGGGCAGTGCCTTTGTGTCCTTTCATCCTGAACAACAACAACTTACATTTGTGTTGCCTTTTCTTTACAATTACGCAACGTTTTACAGGATCAGATTTCCATGTCATTGCCCCATCAGGGGGTCTCAGGGCAGACCACCAAAAGTGTGGTCAAGGGTGGGGCTTGAAACTTTTTCGAGCAGGGAGAGGTTTAGAGAGGGAGTCCCAGAGCCCAAGGAAGCTGAAGGCAAGCCTGCCGATGGTGGACTGGAGGAAATTGGGGAAATCTCTGGGATTTCGAAACCCGCACCACACCCTGAAGGTTACACAATATCGTTGAATGTTCAAGGCTGGGACTGGCCAATTTTTGGGGTCTTGGCCAATCAAAGGACAGTGGGAGCGGATGGGGAAACTGGAGTGGAAGCCCCAATCATATTGAACGGTGTTGCAGGCTCGAGGGGCAGAACGGCCTACTCCCGCTTTATTTCCTTTTTAGATGAGCAAGGGGCCAGAATTGGGGGTATGGAGAGATCTTGGATGGCAGAGATGGAGAGGAGGGGTTTGAAAACACACGGGTGAGAATTTTTAAACCCATACAACACAGAAACAGGCCCTTTGGCCCAACTCTTCCATGCCAACCATAATCCCAAACTAAACTATTCCCACCTGCCTGCAGTTTATCCCTCTAAACTTTTCCTATTTATGTACCTGTCCAAATATCTTAAACGTTGTAACTTTACCTGCATCTACCACTTCCACAGGCAGTTCATTCCACACATGGACCACCCTCGGTGCGAAAAAGTTACCTCTCCGGTTCCTTTTCAAAATCTTTCTCCTCTCTCCTTAAGCCTATACTGTCTAGTTTTGAAGTTCTCCCATCCCAGGGAAATGACCTTTTTGCTATTTTATCTATGTCCCTCATGGTTTTTATAAATCTTTGTAAGATCATCCCCTCCGCCTCTTGTCTTTGGCATGGGAGGGGAGCAAGAAAATTTCTCAGCCTACCCTGCTATCTCAAACCCTCCAGTCCCAGCAATATCCTGGTAAACCTTTTCTGAACCCTCTCCAGCTCAATAATATTCTTCCTATAAAAGGGAGACCAAAACTGCACACAGTACTCCAAAAGTGGCCTCACCAATGTCCTCTACAACCTTAATATGACATCCCTGTACTCAAAGGTCTGAGCAACGAAGGCAAGTGTGCTAAACACCTTCCTAACCACCCTGTCTACCTGTGACGCAACTCATTTAATGTTGGATTTGGAGGTTTGCTTTGAGTGAGTGAAGTGTCCTCATTTATTGGCTCTCCGTTTCCTTGAAGGTTTATCTAGATGAGGGTTTACATGGAGGTGTCATGTTGCACCGAGTCTGCGCAGAAAGCACTTGGCAAAACCCTAGAACCAAGAGTTGGAGACATGTGGAGCGAACATTGAACCCCTGGCTATCTATATTCCCCTCATGAATTGTTTAAACATCAAACCCTGTGCCAGCAGGAGGCTGTTCAATCTTATCATGGCTGATCCTCTATCTAATGCTATATGTCAGCTTTCTCTGATTGCTCCTCGATGCCTTTTTAAAATCTAAAAATGTTTGTATCTCTCTTTCTTGAATCTATTCAGTGATATCGCTTCCACAGCTTTCTGTGATAGAGAATTCCGCAGGTTCGCTATCCTTTTGAGTAGAGTCATAGAGATGTACAGCATGGAAACAGATCCTTCAGTCCAACTCCTCCATGCTGACCAGAT